GAACACTAAACAAACGCACAATGCACACGTGCCCATGCACAAAGTCACACAGAGACACAAACACACACACACAGACACTCACAAACACACACACACGCACAACCCGCACACACACACACACACACACACACACGCACACGCACACGCACACGCACACGCACACGCACACGCACACGCACACACACACAACACAACACAGACACGCACACAAACACACATAGACATGCAGACACAGACATACAGCCTTTCTCTCACACGCACACACACACACGCACACTCTCTCACACACACGCACACGCACGCTTGCCTCGGGCGCCTCTGCTGACGTTAGCCAGCGAGTCTCGAGCTATACAAGGGTGGGTTACTCTCATGGGAAATTGGCCCCCTCGTGTGGGAGTTTACGCGCACGCAGGCCCACGCACGTACACGCGCACCCGAAGCCAATCGCCCTGTCGTATGCCCCGTCCCCCCGTGGCATCTGCCCCGCACCCCAGCCCAGGTCAGGTGCGGAGAGCTCCCTGCGGCACGCGACGGAAGCCGGCGAGATGGGCGTGGCAGGATGGTCGTTGATCGGGGCTCTTCCATATCATCGTATCACCTGCTACCTTTTCCCTTGCCATGGCCATCTCCTCCTGCTCCGCCTTGGCCTGCTTACCTCACCCCCACTCCTCCCCGCCCCTCCCATGGGGCCTCCAGCCAGTGCCCGTGCCCCCCCGTTGGATGGGGTCTGCTGCCGGTGTCGTGACCGTGGTGCTGCCGCATTGTGACGCGCTGTGCGCTGATGATCTGCTGTTCTCGTCTGAGAGGAGGAATCCGTGATTTGCTTGTCGTGCCGTGGATTGGTGCATTGTGGTTTTGACACGAGGCCTTGAGGGTACCAGGATGTGCCGTGCCAGGGGGCTGTGCCTTGCCGTGCTCGGTGCCAATCAGTGCTGTGCTGTGTTCGTCGTTTACTGCGGCTCGTTTCTTAGAGGGAGCCCGGGCGTTGCACCGTCCCATGCCGCCACCACCTGGGTCGTGGACAGGGAGGTCTCTTAGGGGCCGTTGGGAGTCGCTCGGGAAGCCTCTTGGTGGCCTCTTGGAAGCCTCTTGGGAGCCTCTCGGGGGCCTTTTGGGGGCCTCGTGGGTATTTCTTCGGGGCATCTGGCGGGCGTCTGGACGGTCTGCTGGGACCATCCGCGAGTTTCCTCTCGTGGCTTTTGTGGTGCCCCTTGGGCCCCCTTGGGGGCCCCTGGGGCCGTCTTTCGGCGATCTTTGGGGCCTATCGTGCCGTCTTGGGCACTCATCAGACGGAAAAGCCGAGTATGCTAAAACCGTACAAAGCCCAAGGTTTCACATGATGGTTCCTTGGTCCAGCCCCTTGGGCCTCCAAGACCACCCAATCTGCGCACAAGAGGTGTCGAGGACGGGCACTGAGACTGGATTAAATCATGTTGGAAGTAGATGGAAGCATGGAGTCCCAACCACGCTCCCAAGGCGTCTGAAAAAGAAACACACGAGCCGCCAAGAAGCGTCCGAGAGCGCCCGTGAATCCGAGCCTTCGGCCGTTTAAATAGAAGTTGTAATACTCAACGCAGAGAGCTCGAGAAGGGACCTGGGACACTCCACGTCGTGCCTCGGGGCAGTTGTGGCGGATTTGGCTGTCGTGCCACGCCGTGTCGTGATGCAGTGTCGTAACCGAGTGAATCCAGTTCTTGCTGGCGCTTGTGCCATGCCGTGCCGTGGTGGTTTGCCGTGCCATGCTGCCGTGCCGTGATTGGGCGTCGCGCGGCGGGCAAACTGCGACCATGCCTTGCGCTGGTACCGTGTTGTTGCTTGCCCGTTCTGCGTCAGGGTGCACTGGTCGGGGAATCAAGAGGTACCGATACCGCTACTCCCCGGACCTCTCCTGGGGTGCGTTCTGACTAGAATTTCGAGGCGAACCCCGCGGGGTAGCGACGAGGGCCTCTCAGGAGGCCCCCCCCAAAGGAAAAACGGGCGGAGGGTAGCGGTATGGGTGCTGCTTTTCCTGCGAATTGGTGGTGTGGAATGCAGTGGGGGCGTTCGTGAAGGAACTTGCCCAGGAGGTTTCAGAACCTGGAGGGTTCCTTATCTGATGAGGGCGGCGGTGATATCTATGGTCAATCCACGACTGGTGTTCCACTGGCTTCCAGACCCTGGATTCCTTATCCCAGGTTTCTTTATCCAATGCCATCACCGTTCACCGCCCACCAAACCACCCCAACCCGAAGGCCCCGATTTGCCGTCCCTTTCCAGAGAGAGGGGGGGGGTCGGGGAACATGGACAAGAACACATATGAAGCCCGCCACCCCCCCAAACCGGACATTCGGGTCTTCGGGCCAGCTTGGGGTGGCCTGGCAGCTGGCAGGCAAGTCGGCCGCATCGCATGCCGTGCCCCCGGCACCTCGGCAGCCTTCGCCCCGCGGGCCCCTCTGGTCGCGGAGGCCCCTCTGGTCGCGAGGCCGCACGGCACCGCCGGGGCGGTGCCTGGACGGGCAGGGGTCCAGGGTGCAGTCGGGCGCGTCCCTCGACAGGGCGGATCGTCGAGAATAGTACAGAAAGAAGTGGATATGTGTTTCGACTATGTTCTATTTCTCCTCCAAAGCCCCCCTCTGTAGGAGGGCATGCCCCACCCAAGTCCAGGGGCAGGTTTCGGGCCGGTCCTGGTCAGGGGAGAAAGCCACGGGATTCCACTCGTCTTGTTGGAGCCGCGCGAGCATGAGCCCGTGTGACCTGCGGCCACAGTCGTCAGTTGAGCCACCACCCGCCGCTTTCCACGCGTGCCGCTTTTATGGCATGGCAAGCGGTGTCTATCACGATGCTGTAAGTGAGTTGTAGCAAACGGTTCTTGCTTCTGGGGTCAGTGCCCCGGAAACGGCAGGGCCGTGTTTTTTTTCACCGTTTTCGACAAAGTGTCCTTTGAAAACGGAACCAGCAGAAAAAAAACGGCGACCGTAAACGGCAAAACAGCGGCTCCAGGGTTGGAACCGGAGCCGGATACGGTAAACGAGCGGCGACGGAATCGGTAACAAAAACGGCGTCGGAACCGGCAGCAAAAACGGAAAAACGGAACTGGGGAGAAACGGCTCTGCCGTCCCCAGGGCCCGCTGAGCTGCTGGGTCTCCTATGACGGGGGCGTGCACCTGCTCACGGACATGCGCAGAGAAATCCGTGTTTATATTGGGTTATGTTACGTTGGTTGACGTGTAGGCTTATGATGTTCCAACCTACTTTAGACCTGATAAGCAGGAAGAAGTTCGAGCACCAAGAAAGTACCGAAACTTATTGGTTTTCACGTGTCGGGCCCTGGGAGGCGATACTCGTTCGACGCTGTTTCGATATTTGTCCGGGTGCTCGAAATGATTTTTGGGACTAGGCCCTTAAGGACGATGTGAGCTACATAAGTGCGAACAGGTTTCTGCTGGTTGAAGTCATGCTCTCGCGTTCCAGCACATGAAGGTTTTGACGACATCTGGCTTTCGGCTCAGCACCGCTTTGTGCTCGATTCGTTCCTCTTCCCACAATGTTGCGAACCGCGAAGTTGAGGCTGAATATCGATGCGAAGGACCAGATCCTGGATTTGGTGAAGGCATGCCGGCGAGCTCGCGGCGAAGAGTTGCCCTCAGGCAGTCGGAAAGCGAAAGGTACTCAGCCGGTGGAGCATCCGGACAGTGTCAAAGCCGAGAAGCCGCAGACAGATCGGGAGGAGGCCCGGGTCTCCCGCAGGTTGATGCGGCGCCTGGTGCGCGAGGCCGGGGCGAGCCTCCTCGAGCAGGAACGGGAGGACATGCGCCGACAGCTGGCGTCCATGGAGTCGACGGTTCGGAAGCAGAGGGAGCCCGACATTGAGGCTGATTCTCATCCGAAAGCGGCCAAGCAGGACATGCCAGCAGTTCCCGCAACATGCAGGGCGGCAAAAGCTTCAGATTCCTTCCGTGCAAAGTGTGTGCACAGCAAGACTGGGGTAACCAAGACGTTGGTCGTAAAGAGAACCGAGTTGGTGACGGCCCTCTGCGCCACCGCCGCAGCCAAACTGAACCTGGGTTCGAAGAAGAATGTTGTCGCATTTTTGGATGCAAAGAGCCCCAGTGTCACTCTCACGAGTGACGATCTGCTGACACTGGGCGATGACTCCAGCATTTATTTTTCAGTATCAGAAAAGACGGTGCCAGGTGTCGCTGGTGCTGGTGCTGCAGCGAAGGAGGACCCCAGGGACGACCCAAAGAAGGGAAAGAAAAGTGGAAAGCTGGATGTTGCCGAGTCAGGGGTAACTGTTGAGAGACCCCCCAAGAAGGAGAAGTCTAGGGATAAGCATGGGAAGAAAGAGGCATCCAGTAAACATACACAGAACGAGAAAACATCTCACGTGCAGGCCTCGGACGGAGACTTATCGCCGCGGTCTGGTTCAGAGGTGGATAGGAACGTCGAGGCCGCTGCAGATTTGAACGACGACTCTTCCGACGAGGAATTTGCTCCACTGACGTCGATCGAAAAGCTGGAGCTCCAGGAACGAAGGGTTAGAGAGGCGTATCGAAAGCGGGAGCACCAAGAGAAAGTATGGCCTCCGTTGTCAGCGACTTCCGCCTCGGTGGAGAGCGGTTGTGATGGAAGAGATGCTTGCGATGTCACATGTTTGCCCAACGGCAAGAAGTCCAGGGTAGTTCGCCAGCTTCCAGCACATGCCAAGGAGGCCGAGATAGTGAAGACGATTGAGGAGCATGTGGTTACGCTTCTCTCGGGCGCCACGGGGTCGGGTAAAACAACGCAGACTCCACAGTTTCTATTACGGGCGTGCCGCCAGCGAAAATTGCCCGCTCGCATTCTGGTTGTGCAGCCTCGGAGATTAGCTGCCATCGGAGTTGCTCAGAGGGTTGCACAAGAATGGGCCAGTCAGTGGGAAGGGGCGCTGCCGAGGCCCGGAGCCGAGCTGGGTGGTTCTGTGGGATACATCGTTCGTGGTGATTCGCGGCATAACGTGGCATCAGCATTGAGGAAACAACATGAGCGGTACCAAACGCATGGATAGCGAGCGTCCTTCGGTCCATCCCGCCATTCCTTGCTTGGGTCAGATACAGCAGGTTTACTCGAGGCCTCTTGGGGTGTTTTGAGAAGGACTCTCGGGGTCCTCTTAGAGGCATGTTTGAAGCCTCTTGGGGTCCTTTGGGGGCCTCTTGAAGTCTCTCGCGGGAGTTTTGGGGGCATCTGGGGTTATCTTAATCTTGTGGGGCTCTTGGGGGCTTGCTGGCGGTCTCTGGGGCCATCTTTGGGGAACGGCTCGACATTTCAGTTCGGTTTCCCACTCTCGGGGTCCTCTTGAGCTCTCTTTAGACCTGCTGGGCCGTCTTTGCGCCCGCTTGTGCCGTCTGGGGGCCCTCGTTGGGGCCTCTTGGATTGTCTGGGAGCTAGGTCTTGGGCCCCTTGGGCCGTCTCGGAGCGTTGGAAGCTGGAGTAAGCGAGAATCTTGAAATCGCTCATAAACAAGGGGAGTCAATGATGTGTGCCCGGGGCTTCGTTGGAATTCTCTAGGAGTGTTCTTGGGCTTGTTGGGCCGTCTTGGAGCCTTCTTGGGTCGTCTTGGGGGCGCCTCGGGTTGTCTTGAGGCTATCTCGAGCTGTCTTGGGGCCCTCTTGGACGGCCGCTAGGTTTTATCGAGACTTGGTTGGGCAGCATTTCGGGATTTGGGCGTCGTTGCGAACGGTGGGGTCATGCGCCACGTCCCGGGAGCTCCCGAGTGACGCTGGGGATTCTGGCCAATTCGGGAGTTTTCTTTAAACCAGAGCAATCAAATTCGTGCAACTGCTTTGGGGCATTGTGCTGAAGGCGCGGTGGCAGATTCTGACTCTGGCCAGTCCTTCGAACCCATCCAACATACGGAGATTTTGTTCGTGACGACGGGCATACTGTTGAACCACATCCTGTCTGGAGATCCGAACCTGGAGTCGGTGACGCACCTTATCCTGGACGAGGTGCATGAGCGAAGCCTTCACGTGGACTTTATGCTCACGCTGCTCAAGGAGGGGGCGGGCCGTTTTTTCTCGAGACCGAGCAATCCGCTCAAGCTGATCCTGATGTCCGCCACGATTCGGCGGCGAGCGAGGGGGGGAGGCGAGAAGGAAAAGGTCCTCTTCAGGAGGCGGCGGGACTTCTCAGAAGCCCCCATCGCGCCTTCGGAGGAAGTGCTCCCGCCACGATTCGGCGGTGAGCGAGGGGGGGAAGCGAGAAGGCGAAGGCCCTCTCGGGAGGCGGCGGGACTTCTCAGACGCCCCCCTCGCGCCTTCGGAGGAAGTGTTCCCGCCACGCTTCGGCGGCGAGCGAGGGGGGGGAGCGAGAAGGCGAAGGCCCTCTCGGGAGGCGGCGGGACTTCTCAGACGCCCCCCTCGCGCCTTCGGAGGACGCGTTCTCGGTGTCCTCGGGGGGGAGGGCTCGGCGCTCGCCCTTCGCCTGCCAGGCCGTCGTGGGCTCCGTTCGGCGTCGGGGCTCCTCCTCCTCCTCCTCCTCCTGCTCCTGCTCCTCCTCCTCCTCCTCCTCCTCCTCTCTCCCCTCCTCCTCCTCCTCCCCCTCCTCCCTCCTCCTCCTCCTCCTCCTCCTCCTCCTCCTCCTAGACAAGGCTCGGGCGAGCCTTCTCTGAGAGAAGGCCCGCCCCGCCGCACTCCCCCTCCCCCTGCGCTCGCCGCCGAGCGATGGACTCCGGACGATTTGCTCGCTACTTCGCAGGGCTGTCGGTCGGCCAGGCTCGGGATCCCGCAAAGGGTGTGTGTGTGTGTGCCCCGTGTGTGTGTGTGATCCGACGAAGGCATCTATACACCACCACCGTGCCAGGCCAGGGCCATCCTGGGCCCCAGGATGGCCCTGGCCTGGCACGGTGGTGGTGTATAGATGCTTTCTGCGAATGTGAGTTCGATCGGGGTTGACACCGAACCGCCCAACAACAGAGGCCCCCCAGCCGCTGGCAGCTCCCGAGAGTGGCCGGCAGGTCGGGCATGCGGGGGGTAGCTGTTCGCGGCAGTTCGGTGCACCCGCGGATCGAATCCATGCCCCCCCTCAGGGTCCCCCCCCTTTTTGGTGGATGCCGACAGGTGGCCATCGAGGGCCGCGCCTTTCCTGTGCAGATTCGGTACCTGGGCGAGATCCGGGACATCGTCCGGCGTCGGGGGCGCCTCAGCTCGGGCCGAGCCAGGGGGGGGGGGCACCCCTTGCGGGGGGGGCTCTGCCTCCTCCCATGGAGAGCAGGGGTCGAGGATCGATCGAGGAGCGGGGAGAGGTGATCGAAGATCGAGGCGCTTGTGGTCGTTTCCAGACCCCCTCGCGTGGTGAAGACAAATCACGAGGGGAGAGGTTTTTCGCTATGTTCGGCTTCCGGGGGCCCCCTTACCAGGCCCCGGGAGCGTCAATGAACGACTCAGGATGAGAAACCGGTCCTGGGGATCAAGGGAAGAAAAACACCACCCGGACTTGATAATTGTCGGGGGTGGACAGAACCCCCAACAGTGACACGTCGATTAGTGAATTGTCCGTTTTCGGTTTTCGAGAGGGCGCCGTGGCCGTTATTTTCCAGGCTTGCGCCCGCCAGGTTTGGGCCTCGGGTCGTTTTCACTAAACCACGTTTTGCTAAAGGGGGGTTTGTTCATCCCCGAAATTGGCGCTTACTAAACGGCCCTGGACGTTTACTGAACAGCCCTACCCTGTTCGATTCCTGCTTTGGGTGCGTTTGCTAAACGGCTTCGCTTGTCGGTGTGGTTATGATGGGGGTGGACGTTCTGCCCTCCAGGGGAAGGGGTCCAGGCGTCAGACCCCCGACGTCGTGACGAAATCACGCCGTCGGGGGTCTGGGTCTCTCGGAGCGTCTGCAGACGTCCTTGGGGGGTCCAGAGGGTGCCCGTTCCTGGAGGAGGCGGCTCGCCCCCGCGGTGTCCTCCCCCCTGGGCGCTGCCTGGCCAGCGCGACCCAGCTGGTGGATTTCTCCACGCTCGTGGACGAGTGCAAGTTCGGCCCGCCCGACATGGAGGGCGTGTCGGACGCCGGGGCCACCAGTGTGCAGCCCTCGATGTTCCTGTCCCCTGCGGCAGAGGTGTCGTCGGGGCCGCGGGGTCTGGTCGACGCCGCGCTGCTGTGCGAAGTGGTGAAGACGATACTCGGGTGCTGCTTTGACGCGGACTCGGGCGATGGAAAGGGGATTCTCGTCTTCTGCCCCGGCGCGGCCGAAATCGACTACTGCTTCTCGGAGCTTGGACACGCTCTAGGGTGCAACCATGGTGCCGAGTTGATGCGCCTGCACGGGCAACTCCCTCCAGAGGAACAGAGAAGGGTTTTGGACGAGCCGAAGAAGGGAGTTTCCCGCGTGATTCTAAGCACGAACGTGGCCGAGACGAGCGTCACCGTCCCAGGCATCACAGATGTGGTTGATTTCGGGTTGATGAGGGAAGCTCGAAGAAGACACAACTGCGTTGATATGAACTTTCGGAGCTCCGCGCGGATTTCTTGGATCGGCGCTGCCCCGCCCCTTTCCCAACTTGGGGCGCGAAGCACGCCAGCGGCGGATCTGGGTGCGCCGCTAGTGGGGCCCAGCACCGATCCAAGAAATCCGCACGCGAGACCCAGAAGTTTATGTTCTTGCAGTTGTTCATTCTCCTGGTAGCTCGCTATGACCCCGCGTCGATGAGGCAGAGCCTGATCCCCGTCTGGGTGCCTCAAGCTGCTGCCAGGCAGCGTGCAGGTCGAGCGGGCCGCGTCTGCTCGGGCAGGTGCTGGCGGCTGTTCGACAAAGGTTGGTATTGTGACAGCGGCGACGTTCCCTCGGAGAACCCCCCAGAGATGCTTCGGACCTGCCTCGAGGAGCCAAGACGAACAGAACGGCACGAACACAAACATTCGGACGTCCGCGCGGATCTCTTGGATCGGCGGCGAGGCCCCCCCTGGCCCCGCCTCCAGCGCCGCCCCTGGCGCGCTCCGCGCGCCAGGGAGGGGGTCAGCTCAGAGCCAGAAGGTCCGCGCAGAGATCCGCAAGTTCCTACCTTCCCCAGGGTACCCTTGCATCCTTGCCTCCTCGGGCCGTCCTTGGCCACTGTCGTTGGCCGCGCCCAGCTCGACAGGCTTCGAGATGGCCTTCCAAGGCCCTTGCATCCTCACCGCGCATCTGTATGATACGGGTTGACCGTGTGCAGCTCCTTTGCTCCTCTGCAGGAGCTCGTGCTGCTCCTGCTGTTGCGCAGCGGCAGCGGCTGCGAAGCCCACAGCAGCACAGAGAGCGGGCTGCTCCGCTTCCTGGCCGCGGCCCCTGACAGTCCGCCGCCTGAGGCCGTGGTGGCGGCGGTTCGCCGGCTGTGGGAGCTCGGTGCGGTTCGTTACGGGAGCGCCGTGCGTGAAGGAGCGGCAGACCGGGATGCAGCAAGAGCTGCAGACGAAAGCGAGCTGATTCTTACTCCTCTGGGCCACCATTTGGCCCGGATGCCCATGGAGTGCAGGCTGGGGAAGTTGCTCGTGTACGCGTCCATCCTCGGTTGCCTGGAGTCCGGCCTCACCGTCGCAGGGCAACTCTCCTTGGGGCGGAATCCGTTCCTGAACTTGAAAACTTTGGCATCCACTGCCGTTGGCGCCGCAGGCACAGCTGAGATACAGCGAAAAAGAGACACGCTAATTGTCGATGGTGGCCAGGTGGCACGGGCAAGTTCAGATCCACTTTTGGTCTGCGCTGCACTCGAGCAGTGGAAGTGTGTCAAAGGAAACTGGAGGAGACGAAGGCTGTACTGTCAGGAGCTTGGCCTCTCAGATGCCACACTCTCCGAAATCGACAGCCTGCGGGAAACGTATCGCCGACACCTTATGAGTTCGGGACTAGTTCACGTCATAGAACCAGGGCTCACGTCGAGCCCGAGTCGGCCAGCATCCACTTGCACCAACGCTTCAGAGTCCAGTTGCGATGCTGAGCGGACCCTCCTGAAGTGCTGCTTGGTGTCTGCGCTGTACCCGAACCTGGCTCAGATTCAGAGGAGCACCATCTCCACGGGTGGAGTGTCCCGCGGGGGCAGGGCTGGCCGAGGGGGTCGGGGAGGCAAAGTGGTCACCTCCTACGTGCTGCTGGACGAGAAGGTCGGGCTCGGCCGCGCGGCGTTCGCGCCGCCGGGCAGAGCGCACGGCGTCGGCCGCGCCGCCGCTGCTCCCGCTGCTGCTGCAGGAGGCCCCCGTCCGGGATGCGCGTGGGTGCACCCAAGCTCGTGCAACGCGGCGTCATCGAAGGAGAACGGCAGTGCGTGCAACGCAACCGCGCACGAGCCGTGGCTGCTGTATTTCAAGAAGATGATGACGAGCAGCCTCTACCTGTTCGACACGACTCTGGTGGACTGCACGACGGTGCTCCTCTTCGGAGGGTTCGGCGGGGGCGCGGGCTTGCGACCGTCTCGATGTACGGAATTTGAATCGTCATTGCGATCTTCAGTTCGTTTGAAGCGTTCCAGGAAGAGGACGAACGAGACTTCAACAAGCGCCCTCCTTTCTTGCCGTCTCACCCTGGATGGCGTCTTTTTTGATTGCGACGAACCAGAGACGGTGGTATTGGTGCGCTGTTTGCGTGAAGAGGTAGACCGGTTGTTGGTCGACCGTCTGGACAACACACAGGTTCAGCAAGACAGCGGGATCGTGTTCTCGTTAGTACGCCGTGCGGTCTTGCGGCTTCTGGGGGCTGTGGATGAGGAGCATGAACTTGACGAGGAGACCAACGAAGATAATGTGGGGTAGCGCCAATTCTGAATTGAATAGTGTTGTCGCCATCCGCTGGCAAAAAAATGACGGCCGTCATCCCGCGTGAAGCTTCCATATCAGAAGTTCGGAAAATATATCACCAACTTGATATCCGGTGCGTTGTCACTGCATCTTTGTGTCTACGCTTCTTCGGGCATGATGTGCGCATGCTTATCCTTGAACGTCCTTGTCTGCCTGGCGCAAGTGACAGTTGCCATACCATCCAGATTGCTTGCACCTCGCCGCAGCTTGACGGGGCTCAGACAATCGCCCCGATGGCATGTGGAAGCGCCTCGAGGACGAAATTGAGTTGGTTCTGGCTGGGGATACATTCCAAGTGTCACTGAGGCGCGTGTTAAGTCTGGGACGGGCCGACCGCATTGTTGCTGCACGCCATGGGCACAGATCGATGCAACACATTGCACCGTATGACTGTGCCACATCGGTTTGCTGCTGTCTCTTGGATCCAAGTTTTGTGCATATTGGAATGTTTTTGTGCTGGGGTGCTGTTTCGTCACCAGGGCCGGGCACGTCCAGAAATGAGCACACGGCAAAAACGGGCATGGGAGCATCGAGAATTCCATGCTCTGCCCGTTTGCCCCTCGGGTCATGGAAAAAATCGTGACGGAAAGGTGCGTGTTCTTTCCGGGCTCCAGGGGCCTTTTCCGGACCCCGGGACCGTCGAACAACGACTCATGGTGAAAAACCGGTCCCAGGGAACAGGTCGAGTTCTCCGGGGGTCCACGTTTTGACAAATATCCGGACCTTGGGGGTCTAGATTTGAGGCCATCTTGGGAGCCTCTGGGACCTCCCACGGAGGCTCACGGCTTCTCGCGATGATGTTGGGAGCCTTTTCGGTCGCCCTGGAAGGCTGATCGAGCAGCCATTTTTCTACATCACGCGAAGTCGTGCTGGTTTTAGGAGGCCGCTGTTCCAGGATCCGCCGATAACCCGAGTTGTCGAGCTCGCCCGCCGCCCTCTCCCTCCCCTTTTTGGGACAACCTGACCTTGTCGGCTGCGCAGGGCCGAAGGGAGTGCGCAGCATCTGCCCGAGGCGAAAGGGTTATGCTATCGGCCGGCGCCTCACACCCCCCCCTCAACCGGATAACCAGGGTCACCACCGAAGAATGAAGCACTGCCTCTCGCCGATTTGGCTCTCTGGGGTCACCCCCTGAGCCCTCCAAACTTCGAGACGACCTCCCCCCCCAGCGCCATCGTGCAGCGATCTGGGAGCTCCAAGCTCGAGCAGCGTGCCAGGGCATCGGCGCAAACATCGTGCGCAGGCATTTTCCAGGACCCCCTGGAATCCCGTGAGATGGAAGTCTGGCTTGAGACGATGGACGAGCTTCCCCGAATTGTTCTTGCAAAAAGGGGTTCGTGCTTGGGATGCTTGCATGACGGTGCCCAGACAAAAAGTGTGCACACCCATGGCGGTAAGGCGATACAATCTGGTGACAACCACAATTGCGAAATGCCCTCGCTTCGCACCCCTCCCTCCCGAACCCAAAGTTGAAGTGTCCACATTTTGTCCTTGGCCTTTGGCCTGCCGCCCAAACCCGTCAACTCTGAATTCGGTGGAGGGGATATACATTCTGGTCCGACGTGCTTTGGTAACTCAAGGTTTTGGCGAGGCTTGCGCACTTGCGAAATCTTAAGAGATTCATAGGTTCAATATTTTACGAACGGGGTTCGTTCGTGTGCATGTCAAAATTGTTCGAACGCCCTTGCGCGCGTGCCGTTGCGAGAATCCTCTGCAAAAAACGGGACGAAGTGCACGCGCGCGCGTCGTCGCGCGCGCATGCCGAAATCCTTCAAACACCTTTGGTTCCGGAAGGATTTCAAAAACCAGTGTCCCAAAAACATGCAAACACAAGGTTTCGCAACACAGATTTTCAGTAAGAACGTGCGCACGCGCTCTTGCATAGTCGTTGTCGTCGTTCCCTCTTTCCTCGTCGTTGTCGTCGTCGGCGTCGACGTCCTCCCTCCTTCGTTGTTCTCGTCGTCGCCGTCCTGCCTCCTCCCTCGTTGTCGTCGTTGTCGCCGTCGTCGTCCTTCCTCCTCCCTCGTCGTCGTCGTCGTCGTCTTCGTTGGCGACGTCGTCGTCGTCGTCTTCGTCGTCGTCGTCGTCGTCTTCATCGTCGGCGTCGTCGGCGTCGGCGTCGTCGTCGTCGTCGGCGTCGTCGTCGTCTGCGTCATCGTCGTCGTCGGCGTTGTCATCGTCGTCGTCGTCGTCGGCGTCGTCGTCGTTGGTGTCGTCGTCGTCGTTGTTGTCGTCATCGAAGTCGATGGAGACGCCCTCGGTGTCGTCGTAGTCGTTGTCGGTGGCGTCGTCATCGTTGTCGCTGCCGTCGTCGGCGTCGGTGTCGTTGCCAAGTGCCATTTGGCACCTACCGTCACGACCTTAAGAGGTCTTGCGACCAAGTTGCGGATGGGAGGGTGGGATGCTTGCACGAGCAGCGGAGAGGACAGCTAGTGATTGCTAAAAAAAGATAGGTTCTACCACCTCCCAGGAACCGATGCAAAACACATAGGATTCTGACCCAATGTCCATCCTACCTGTGAATTCCTATTATCCCAGCCAAACCGGTATCGCCCCCCCCCATGTGTATGGACACCCATGTGATACACATAGTGTGTGCAATGACCAACAGTTTGGGCCTCGCGCTCGCAACCATGACTGGTTTCTGGGGACCCTGAAGGCACCTCGTTGTACCTGCGCCACGGTGGCGAAAAGCTACACACCAAAATAACTGACCGCGCCCAAGGCAGAACCTGAACACAGCCACATCACAAACTGTGTGCTGTTGTTCCCCCATGCTGTCTCGTGGAAGCGCCGTGACAGGGTCGGATCAAGCTTGCTAGTTCGCCGCGGTGTCGCGAGGTCCCCTGTTGTTCCACATGGCGCTGCCAGGCGCATTTCGGAAAGCCCGCGAAATGTAGAGCCACATCACCACAGACGGATTCTAGTTATAAACGCGCATGTGTTCGAGAGCAAACGCGCAAACGACATGCTAAACAGCAGTGGTCCACGCATGGGGCCGCCCCATCCCCCAGCACTCATCGGTTCTCATCGGGTGCAGGCGCGCCTCGGAGGCCCCAGCTGTTCCGAATGTGGAAACCTAGATTGTATGATTGGCCGTTTGCTCGGTCTGGAGGCGTATCGGTTCCTTCCGGCCGCTGGTTAAGTGCTCAAGCAATGATAGCACTTCGGTGCATGCGCCCCGCCGCCTCCTGCGGCGATGGCGAAGGCGGGCGCGAACATGCAACGTTATTAATGCAGGGTGGGAGGCAGCGCGCAGCAGAATACCGTGATCCAATCTGGTATTATGAGCGAGGGGCAGAGAGAGAGAGGGGGTGGAGAGAGGGAGGAAGAGAGAGAGAGAGAGAGAGTGGCACGCATTTGATATGCATATTTGTACATGCGCAAGCGTAGGCGGATGCACAGGCACCTCCCTATACACGCATACGAATATACAGAAATCAAGTTGCGAAGGGAGACCCTGCAGTCGACATTGTCGCGCAAATGCATCACATAAATATCGTCATGGCTGTGGTTTGGCATCCCAGTTTTATTTCGTCAGCAAACGGTCGCATCGCACATGCTCTGGCGGCGTGGGTGGATGTGGCAGCAGTTCATGTTCCAAGGTGTGCAGCCCAGCCAGCGTGGGGATCTTCCGACGCAGTCCATGGGTCTTGATGGGCATGAAAGTGGAGGGTTGGCTGTGGATGCGCACGGTGCCCTCCTTGCACGTGGACTCGTTCATACCAAGGCTCGTGCCAGGCAGCCGCGCTTCCCAGGGAGCCTCTGTCGGGCAACGTGCTGTCAAAATGAGCAGCGAGTGGGAACAGCGTGTGATCTTTGTCCCTGCTGGATCTCCAGAGGGCATCGGTCAAGCATCGCAGTCAGCTAGCAGCCACGCCCTCAAGTTTCAACGCGTGTCGCTACAAGGCATAGCCGTGGAGCACACCCATGTGCTGAGCATCGGGGTTTCCTGTCCCCTGAGCTTGTCAGAAGCGTCATTCAATCAAGCAAGGGCCAGGACAGCACTTGGCAGAGAGCCGAGAAGTTGATGAACCGGTTTTAGCATGTGCTCATACGGAAGATCTCGTTTGGTGAGGCGATTGTGCGCCCTTGGGCGACTTTGGGAGTGGGATGGGGATTGCTCGAAGAGGTGGCCCTCTGTAATGGGGAAGTCGAGCTTGGACTACATGTCCTCTGGCACGCGCTATGTGCTCCAGCCATGGCAGATCGGGGGTGACCTGGAGGACGAGGAGGAGAGGGGGAACAGAAGGAATGAAGGTCCCTCGTGGTCGAGTAGGAGGGGGGGAACAGAAGGAATGAGTGCGCCTCGTGGTCCGCGTTGCCATCCGCCGAGCCACCGTGCGCTGTGCAGCCGCACACGCGCCGTGCAATACAGGCGGGGCCATGCCGCTGCGGCCGTGCCGCCTTCGCAGGCGGCCGCAGGGTGCCCCCCGCTCGCGGCGTTCGCGCGCGCCCCACCGGTCCCGGATTTGAGATCCTCCTCGCTCCTCCTCGCTCCTCGCTCCTCCTCGCTCCTCCTCGCTCCTCCTCTGTCTCCTCCTCCTCCTCCCCCCTCTTCCTCCTCCTCCTCCTCCGCCTCCTCCTCCTCCTCCTCCTCCTCCCTTTCCTCCTCCTCCTCTTCTTCCTGCTCCTCCTCCTCCTTCTCCTCCTCCTCTTCTTCCTGCTCCTTCTCCTCCTACTCCTCCTCTCCTCTGCCGGGAGGATGGGCGTGCCAGCGGATTTTCTCTTCTCGGCGGCGAGCCCAGGAGGGAAGCGAGAAGGGGCGGGCATTCGCAGAAGGCTCGGGCGTCCCCTGGGCTTCCTAGAAGTTCTCTTCGAAGTCTCCCCCCGAATACACAGAACTCTTCTCAGAAGGCTGGACGGCTTCTGAGATGCCCCGCCGCCTTTGGGAAGGCCTTTTCCTTGCCACTCCCCCCCCTCGCTCGCCGCCCAGGAAGAGTGGCCCTTCGCGGGAATGACCTCTGGTGCTGGCACGCTGGGGCCCCCAGGTGGCCGAGTGCGATCCGCTGGCAGCCTCTTGCGCGCTCGGATTTGGCCCCCGGCGCACCCCTGAAGCTGCGTACCGAAGGTCACTCTTGCCTAGGGTCACTCCTGGCGTGTCGCCGAGAGCACGACGGTCCGACCAGGGGGCCATCCGGGCCGCCGCCACCTTTGGGAACACCGGTCGCCTTCAAGCCACCTGCGAGATTTCTGGAGCCCACCCCTCGGCGGCCGCCGCCAGCTTTTGGGAACCGCGTTCTTATCTCAACCGTTCGATATGCTCCCAACGCGGCGTGGGGAAAGGCAAATGTGGGTTATGTGGAAAGTACCCTTCCTCGGCAGCGGCGCTGGGGAAGGGGCCTAACACGTCTCTCGATGGGGTTGCTTTTCTAATTCGACCCTTATTTCGGAGCCCAGACTTGCCGGGAATAATGGTGGTACAGAAGGTCGCTCTTCTTGTCATTTGATACCAACATTTGCTAGCGCGCAGCTGCTCCAAGAGTGCACCTGGTCCTGCAGTAGAACTAGTCCCATCGATTTGCGACTGAGGCATTTGGGGAAACAGTACAGACTCGTGACTTAATAAGTTTGGAAGCACTATCGGATCGCGACTTTGGGGTACGTAAGCAGCGGTCAAGGAATAAGGAGCCAGGATAAAAAGTTGTTTTCGTAAATAGGACACACACTAGCGTGCAAGTAATACTATTACAAGTCCCTCGTCCAGCTACTAGTACAGTGATGCTGCATTACATTTATAAGTTGGGCGCTCGCACTTGTCTTCCTGTGGTTACGCTGGGGGGGTAGGACCCCGCGCGCCAACACCCCTGCGACTGAGACTTCTTTCCTCGTCCGGAATCAATCGATCTCACGATCGATCTCCCTGCCGAGTTCATTCTCGCTCTCACTATCGATATCACTATCGATCCCATTGTAGATCACACTTTTCCTTACCGATACCCCAAGCGACCCTTCCGTCGATCCCACGAACGATCTCGCGATTGATGTCACGATCGTTCTCACTATCGACCTCACTGCCGATGCCATCATCAATGTCATGATCGATCTAACCATCGATGTCACTCAATCGATCCCACTACTCATATCACCACTGATGCCCCCACCGATCTCACTATCGAACACACGATCGAGCCCATCTAACTCAATCGGTCCCACCATCTATTTCTCGATCGAACACACAATCAATCCGACGATCGATTTCGCGACTGCTCTTACCCAATCGATATCACTATCAATCTCTCGATCGGTCTCGCCATCGATTTGGCCATCCATCTCACGATTCAATTCACGATCGATCTCACTCAATCGACCTCATTACCAATATCATTATCGACTTCTCCATCGATATCACGCTCGATTTCACTATCGATCTCACCCAATGGATCTCACTGTCGATCTCACTACCGCTAGCATAACAAAGCGTAGCATATCGCATAGCACGGGACACCCCCTCGCCACGGGACACCACGGGACATTATCGGGACACCATTGGGACACCATCGGGGATCGATTGGGACACAATCGGGACACCATCGGGACACCACAGGGCCAGTGCTGGCCAACCCTGGGGACAGCAACGTTTTGTTTCGGCTTCGCCCTGGCAACGGCGGGTTCTTACCTCTCGCCCGCCCACTCAGCTTCGCCTCGCTCGCACGCGCGACACGAACGTGAATCCGAAGTCGATTTCCCGGTGGAGGGGGGTCTCCGTTTCACTGCGATCTCACCCCCCAACCTCCAAAATATATAGAGAGAGGGGGAAAGAGAGAGAGAGAGAGACAGAAAGAGAGAGAGAGAGAGAGATAACCAAACGACTATGATAAATAAAGAACGAGAGAGGCGGAGTCGAGAGAGAGGAGAGAGAGAGAGAGAGAGAGAAATATATAGAGAACATGTGTGTATGTATTCATGTATGCATGTGTGTCTGCAACAATGAAGGTATGTATATCCAAATCTGTATACACATAACAAAGAAATCCACATGAAGGTATAGGAAGTGCTACATTCTTATGTACACATACATACATATACATATATCAAGAGAGAGAGGGAGGGAGAGAGAGAGAGAAAGAAACAGACAGAGGGAGAAGCATAACAGAGAGAGAGAGAGAGTAACATATGATAGAGTAACATATGATAACGTGACGGGGCTAGAACGTTTACCCGAATCAGATTGAGGGCGGGAGGAAGGCCGATCGAGGCACCCGCGAAGATTCAACAAAAAACACTGCTGGGGTTTTCTCTGGTGTCAGTGTATTGAAAGAGCCCGCTCGCCCGCTTCTCCAGCACAAGCCCTAGCACACCACGGCCGCTGTCTCCGGAGCAGCACCCGGTGCTCCACGGCCTCCGCCTCCAGCGCGAGACCCGGCGCCTCCAGAGCCGTTGGGGTCTCGTGTCGGAGGCGGAGGCCGTGGAGCATTCTGTTTTGGCTGCCGTCTCCAGCGCGCCACATAGTCCTCCACGGCCTCCGTCTCCACCGCACCCCCCTCACTATTCCACAGCCTCGGTCCCCAACACACACACACACTTTTGCGTCGGTGGCGAGGTAGAGGTTGACTGCGCAGGCGGTGAATGGCATGAACGGGGGTACCGTTGGGCCGACTTGTGCCACCATGCAGGAGGAGGAGGGAGGAGGGATGCGGCCTAAGGAAAATAAGGATGGAGCGGGCGGCGCAGGGGTCAGAAACCCCAACACACACACACACACACCAGAACCACAGCCTCCGTCTCCAAAGCGGCTACTTCAGGAGTTACATTAAAAGTCCAAGTCCGCCTGCTTCCCCCCACCCGTTCCGCCCGCCTCTCCAAACCACGCCTCGTACTCCACAGCCTCCGTCTCCAAAGCAAAACCCGATATTCCACGGCTTCCGCCACCCACACACAGCCCAGTAGTCCATAGCCTCCGTCTCCAAGACGGCTTTCTTAGGAGTTGCACTAAAAAGTCCGTGCCAGCTTGCACGAGGCGGTGACCTGAATGGGGGGGGGGTGAAGAAAAAGGCCCTCAAGGGCTCCTTTCTTCACACCCCATATCTACAGTGCCATCTTTAGGACATGCTCCGCGTGCGGATCATGTACTCAACATGCAGGGATTCAGTTTTTTTTAACAAAGATGAGTTCATGCATAAATGTGTTCATACATTATTCACTTATCAAAAATCCAAAGTATATATATATATAACCTTGTATATAAGCAAAAACTGCCCTGTAGGTCATCCCCCGCTACCACCTGCCAAGTCTTGTCCCTGTCCGACCTGGTTCTGGTCCTGGCGCATCGTCGCGTGGCAGGAGGAGCGCGGACCGTGTGCCGAGCGTTTCGGGCTCCAGCCGTTCCGCGTCCCGCGCGCCTCGGCAGCGTCGTGTGCGAGCGCGGCCCGATGGCGGCGGTTGCTCCCTGCGAGCCGCCCGCCAAGGGCGCGATGCTGAAGGAGGCCTCTCCCGTCCGTCCTGCTGCTTCCAGCGCTGGCAGCCCCTGAGATCCGGGCGCTGCAGCTTCTTCACGCTGGCCGGTGTCGTCCGTTCTCGGCTCCCGGGGCCATCACAGATCGATCCGATGCCGCACTGAGGTGGGGCACAGATCTCCAGTCATGATTTTGTTCGCGATATTGTATTTTTCATAATGTCGGATCTCAGGGGCCGCTTGAGCCACTGCTGTCAGGGTCAACTTTAGGAGAGGGGGGATAGGCTCAGGGGGGGGCATCGACCCCCAGTCGCCCATTCATTGCCTCAGGGGCCAGATGGCCCAACCCGCCCAGAAGCGTGCGGATTTGCTCTGGTGGGCCCATCGCCCATCTATCGGCGATGTATCGCCGATCCCAGCTCGATGTTTCCCCGCCCTTAACCGGTCCCCGGTCCCCCCCTATCTTCCTCGTTCGTTGCCTATTCTCGCGATGGCCACTGATGGCTTTCTCGGCTGCTTTGGCACTCACCATCGCCATCATCATCATCATCATCATCATCATCATCATCATCATCATCATCATCATCATTATCATCATCATCACCACCATCTCCATCTCAATCACCATCACCATCACCATCACCACTGACTTTATTAGTATTATCATCACCATCATAAGTATCGTCGTCATCATCATCATCATCATTACCATCATCATCATCATCATCATCATCATCATCATCATCATCATCGTCATCATCATCATCACCATCACCACCATAATCATCATCATCATCATCATCATCATCATCATCATCATCATCATCATCATCATCATCATCAGTATCATCATTGTCATCATTCCTGCGAGGTCTACCGACCAGGAGCCCTCCTGACGAGGACGGCATCCCCGTCGTGGAGTGCGCTAACCCCGGTCGACTGCCCCGCGAAGATCTTGCCACCGCAAGGCAAGTCATGGTGGAGAGCAGGAGGAGGGAGGGAGGGAAAAGACGGAGACCCGAGGGAAGGAGGGACCTTTTTTGGGAGTGTTTGAAGTTCTTTCACAAGACTCGCCAGTTTTCGAGAGTTTGCGGAGCCTGGGGTGGTCTCCATCCGCAGCGCCTCGTCGAGGAAGTTCCAGGGGTGCCCGAAGCGTGCCAAAGGGCCGCCGCAGAGCTGGCTTGCATGAGCCGAGAGAACGGAGCGTATGTTCGCAGACACGCTCGCGCCGCAAACACAAACGCAACGGGTGTGCGTTGGCGGCGCGCAAAAGGAGGTAGGGGGAGGGGGGAAGGCTTCTTAGAAGCGCCCTGCTTCTTAGAAGGCCTCGGCCTTACGTCTACAGAGAAGGCCCGCGCCTTCTAAGAAGCAGGGGTGCTTCTAAGAAGCCTTCCCCCCTCTCCCTACCCCCCTCTGCGCGCCGCCACGTGCGTGTGTGTGTGTGTGTGTGTGTGTGTGCGTGTGTGTGTGGTCATTTTCGGTCTCCGGTGGCCCCCGCCAGACCTCTGATCGACCCAAAGGGGGTCCAGCAAAAAACGGGGGGGTGCAATCTATAATTGGTGCAAGAGGGTTACAATAGAATTGGGGCGTGCAATACATTACAGGGCGCCAGAATAATGGTGGACTTTCGCGTGCAATGCATTCATCGCAATACGATGCAAGATATGCGCAATACTAATCTGCAGTACGACGCAACACAATGCAATCCCTAGCGCAATACATCTGCAAAACAATTTCCCCAAAGCCGTTGCAACACCCCCTTTCAGCCGGACCCCCTTTGGGGTCCACCAAGAGGCCCCGGGGCCCTCGGAAAACGACTCGGGGTGGAAAACTTGACCTCCCTCGCGCGCCCAGGGCCCCCGCGAAGGCCACCCGAGGGGCCCGCACGTCGGACGGGCGGCGGCGCGGAGGCCACAGCAGTTGCCGCTCCCGGGGGCGCTCCCGCCTTCTGGGGTGTTTTTTTTTTTCTCGGAGGAGGGGGAGGAGGAGGAGGAGGAGGAGGAGGAGGGGGAGGAGGGGGAGGAGGGAGGAGGAGGAGGAGGAGGAGGAGGAGGAGGAACACGCTCTTCTGGGGGGTGGCCTTTTCTCGGAGGCGGGGAAGGATGCATGATTCCATGGAGGAAGGATGTACCCCTGCCGCTGCCCTTGCCTCGCCCTCCCCCGTTTCTGGGGTCTCCTGGGCAGCCCTCGTCGCCACCGCCGGACTCGCCCCGAAGATGTCTGGTCGGAACGCGCCCCGGGTGAGTTCTGGGGAGCAGCGGAGGAGGAGGACGAGGAGGAGGACGATGAGGAGGACGAGGAGGGCGAGGAGGTCGAGGAGGAGGAGGACGACGACGACGAGGAGGAAGAGGAAGGACGAGGCTAACGAGGAGGAGCAGCTGTGTCGGTGCCCTGTTTGGTTTCCCCCGCAGCTGATCGCCCTCCGAAGGATCGAGCTCTGCGGGGGCCTCGGCGGGCGGTGCAGAAGGATGTCTATGCGGGCCCGAGGATGAGGATGCATTGTCGGGCTCGGGGGGACACCTGTATCCAGGAGGACGAGGAGGAGGAGGACGACGAGGAGGAGGAGGACGAGGAGGAGGAGGACGAGGAGTTGGAGACCGCCTGCCGAGGCCCCCGCAGCTTGGTCCCCAGGCGATGGTGCGTCAATGGTAAACCAGCGCGTCGCCAGTGCTGGCTCATTCCTCGGAAGCGGACGCCCAGAGGATACGTCGCAGGGCATGGCGCGGGAGCGCCACGACCTGCACAGACGCCGCAGAAGCCGTTTCTTTTGCAGGCGACTTCTCGCCAAATGTCGGTTCGGGGATTGGGGTCGCCACATCCCCCGCTATAGTTCCTGGAAGGGCCTCTGCGCATTCTGTCTACATGGGTTGGCGCTGCTGCGATTGACCGTTCAGCTGGGCATAGTTGGTGTGTGTGTGTGTGTTTGTTTTTGTTGTTGTTTTCTTTTCTGCTTTTTTATCACAAAAAAAGCGGGCACTAACACACGGTCTCTGCGGCACCGTTGCATGTCGTGCGCGGTTTGCACGGCGGATGCGCCGCCGCCGGGCAAGGCAGCACGGTCCGCCCCCGAACGGGATTCCCGAGCAGTTTATGGGCGGCCGGCGAGCACCCGTCGCGTGCTCCGGCGCGCAGCAGCGCATGCTGGTCCCTCCGGTGCCCTCGGCCTCCAGAGGACCCGGTATCGCTCGGACGTATGCATTTTTCCTCCGGTGAGGGCCATCGAGGAGCATCTTTGATCATTTGGCGAAAAAAACCACGCACGAAACCCCAAAAAACACAGGGAATGGACGTCCGAGCGATGGCCAGAGGAGGGCCAGAGCACTGAGGATGTAGTTGAACGTGTGTGGCTCAGGCCACGGTTCGTGGCATGAGTTTGCCTCTTGGAGTTCGGCTCGTGCGGTGCTCCTGGTTCGGCTCATTAGTTATAGCGGCGTTCTGTGTCGAGGTGTGGTGGGGTCACCAGTGTGATGTCTTGCGGAGAGAAGAGGAGAGGGCCAGAACGTCGAAACGCCAATGGTCCCCTGTCTGACGGGGGCGCCTCGCGGGAAGCGAGGGGACTCTGCATCTTCGGCTGCGAGGCAGCATCTGTGAGCTCTCCGAAAGGGGATGTACATCCTGGAAGGCAGTAGCGCATGAGAGCCCCCTTGCGCCCGTGGCCGACCCAAGTTTAGACACCAAGTCGCACTTGTCTGGATCAGACAAGGGCGGACATCTGCTTCTAACTCAGGCCCCAGCTCCAGAGCCCCGAGGGCACCTTCCATTAGAGCAACCCCCTTCCCCCCCTCCCACACCTTGAGTAGGGGGTCGACTACAGTTTGCCCCCACATTGACGGTCTCCTCGGATCTATTCAATATACGTAAACAGTTTGTAGGTCTATGGAAGCATCTTCTTATATTTCGTAGATTCGATTGAATTAAGTTTGGATAAATGAATTCTGTAGTTGGGCCCCTGCCCGAACCCCGCGGTGCACGGTTTAGGTCGACTGGCTGTGCGGCGGTGGGACACCCATGAGTGCCGCTGCCGCACTGCTTGGTCGCCCTCTTTTTTTCACGCGGGAGGGGGGCGTTGCGACACAAGCGGCGCAGGAGCGGTGCCGGAGCCAGCCACTGGTGGCCACACCTCAACGGACCCTAGAAACGACATGGCCGTTTTTTACCGGTTCCGTTTTGCCGTTTTTTGCCGGTGTCGTCGCCGATGTTTTGCAGATTCCGTTGTCGTTTTTGTTGCCGGTTCCCGTCCCGGTTCCAATCCCAGAACCGTTTCTGTTGCCGTTTTCGGTCGTCTCTTTTCCCGTGGCCATTTTCAGAAGTTTGTCCAAACACATATTTAATTTTTTAAAAAATATGTTTTGGGAAACCCGTGAAACAGCGGCCCTGTTTTTTCCGGGGCCCACTAGCAGGGCCACACCACCTCCGCCCCGCGCCAAGTTCCCCGAGAGGCCGCCCGAAAAGTGCGCGGTGGTTTGCGGAGAAGGTGCGCGAAAATTGCTGCGCTCTCGCGATCCCGAAAATCTACCCCACCAGTCGGCCACGAGCGAGGGGGGGAAGTGAGAAGGCGACGGCCTTCTCAGAAGGTCCGGAAGTCCCAAGGCCTTGTGAGGCGTTTTCTCTATAAGCCTTCCCGGGAGACGCAAGAGAGCTTATCGGAAGGCGCGAGGGCTTCTGAGAAGTCCCGCCGCCTTCTGAGAAGGCCGTCTTCTAATTCTCATTTCCCCCCCCGCAGCAGGAGCTGGCGGAAACGAAGAGCGGAGGAAGCGCCGCTGGCGGAAGCCCAGCGGAGGCAGTCGCGGAAGAGAAGGCTCCCTTCCCAAGAGATGCCAACCTTTCCTGATTCAGGGTTTTTGGAGTCACCCATATACACATAAGTTGTTGGCTCTCCGCGCGGATTTCTTGGATCCGCGCTGGGCTCCCTTGGCGGCGTCTTAGGCGCCGCCCCTGGCGCTATTCGCGCGCCAGGGAGGGGGGTCCAGCGCTGATCCAAGAAATCCGAGCGGAGCTCCAAAAGTTTATGTTTATGCAGTTTTGTTCCTGCTTCTCATATATACATATATAGCAGCGTTGGATAGCAGGCTCTCGCAGCAGTATGCTCGGAGATTTTCGGACGGCCTTCGGGTTTCATTTTCAGAAAGTACTTTGAGAGTTTCAATGGACACTTTCTGTTGTTTTCGGAGGTGTCGGCGTGCAGGGCTTGACCATTAGATCAAAAGCAGGGCTTGACCTGAGGCCTGGGCATGACACTCTGCAAGAATCACCATGAGACCTTCGCAGCTCCGTTTCTGGACCTCGCTCTCATCCTTTTGCGAACGCATTCCTGAACTCCCCGTGGGACCCGACGGGAGCGCTGAGCTGATCTCACAGATAGTTTGACTTAGTGCAGCCGCACGCCGAGAGCACGTTTATTCGGCACCGAGACGCTTACCTCGGTAGGCGCAGTAGCCTCCTATCGGCCTTACCCAAACATACTAATACTATGTGTGCGTCGCCCCCGAAGGGGCGACGCGCGCGCCGAGAAACCTTAAAGTATGTGCTCGGTGGTGGGCGCTTTCTGGCCGCACCGCTCGGGAAACGATCTACTCAGGATGGATCTGCAATTTGTGCGGGTCGGACGCACGCCTGCGAGGAGGACACGTAGTGCTAGTATGCCTTCCTGAGTCCCATCCAATGCCATTGCCCATCTTTCGTCGTGAAGAGTTGGAACGATTTGACCTCAGTGCCCAGATCCTTCGGCTTTGCACACGCCTCGGACTGCGGAGGGCATGGACCGTGAGGGCTACGAAAGCAAGGGACAGCACAACAAGTCCGACGGCGAACAGCAAACAACGTAAGAGTCGGGCGAAACGTCAGAGGAGGAAAAAGTACCCATACCGCTACCATCCCCTCGTTGTCCCATGTTTGGGCCTTCTGAGAGGCATTCGTCGCCACCGCTGGATTCGCTTCAAAATCCAGGCCCGAACGCACCCCAGGAGAGGTCTGGGGAGTAGCAGTATCGGTGCCTTCTGGTTTCCCCCATACGGGAGGCAGTCGTAGTATGAGCGGGGAAAGGTGACAACAGGAGGAACGAAGGAGCAGTGCAGCTCTGTGTAGCCCAGGCTCCGGGTCCCCTCTAGGCGTGTTCTTCACCGAGGATGCGGCGGTCTTCGGCGACGCGTGGGAGATCCCTGGATTCATGTACCAGGCGGCCGCAAGCAGCGGGGGGGGCGGAGAGGGGGCGCATGAGTGACCAGCACCAGCGCACAGCGGGCGATGAGGGGGACGGAATGCTGGATTAGCCGCTTCGCACCCTCCAGCCAGAGCCGGAGAGGCTCGTGCGTCTTCGGGCCTACTCGATGGAGGGTCTTGGGGCCCATTCGATACAGGGCCTCGGGACCCCTTCGATCTAGGGTCCTGGGACCCCTTCGACATGGGGGCCTATTCGACACAGGGGGCCTGTTCGATGTAGGCCCAGGGACGAAGGTCAGGGGGCCTCTTCGATATAGGGCCTGGGGGCCCCCTCGTGGCCAGAAGAGGCCCCTCCCTTCCCTGATATCGCGGCCCGCGGCGGCGGCGCCGGCGGCCGCCATCTGCGGGCGCCGGGGGGAGGATGAGGGAGGAGGAGGAGGAGGGAGGAGGAGGAGGAGCCGGAGCAGGAGGAGGAGGAGGAGGAGGAGGAGGAGGAGGAGGAGGAGGAGGAGGAGGAGAGGAGGAGGAGGAGGAGGAGGAGGAGGAGGAGGAGGAGGAGGAGGAGGAGGAGGAGGAGGAGGAGGGAGGAGGAGGAGGAGGAGGAGGAGGAGGAGGAGGAGGAGGAGGAGGAGGAGGAGGAGGGGAGGAGGGGGAGGAGGAGGAGGGAGGAGGGGGAGGAGGGGGAGGAGGAGGAGGAGGAGGAGGAGGAGGAGGAGGAGGAGGAGGAGGAGGAGGAGGAGGAGGAGGAGGAGGAGGAAGGAGGAGGAGGAGAGGAGGAGGAGGAGGAGGAGGAGGAGGAGGAGGAGGAGGAGGAGGAGGAGGAGGAGGAGGAGGAGGGAGGAGGAGGAGGAGGAGGAGGAGGAGGAGGAGGAGGAGGAGGAGGAGGAGGAGGAGGAGGAGGAGGAGGAGGAGGCTGTACTCCAGGCGTGTCTGGTATCCGGGGTGTCCTAGACTGGCCACCGAGGACCTCGCATGCGGCTCGGGCCGGAGGTGCCGGGGCGGCGCTCGGGCGTGCGAGCCCCCCCGGGAGGCGTGGACGCCCGGGGCACGCACCCAGCCAGCCAGGAGTAAGTCGGGCGTGCCCCTCTACGGGAGGAGCATTCGAGAGCATTGTTTGGCAATTGTTGCGCTTTTCGTCCAAAATCCATCTGTATGAGGGACATGCCCGACCCAAAGCCAGGATCGGATCTGCCTCGGCCCAGGAGCTGCTGTCCGCATCCAGTCCACGCCCTGGCAGGAATCCTTGAGCAGCGAGCGCGCGAGTTTGGCGGCAATGTCTCGTCCAGCGTCCATAGATGCTGTGTGCGGATTGACGGGGATGCGCCCGCCGACGTGCACGTCGACCTGCCGCTGACCTGCGGTTTCCTCTCTGGGATTCGCATGTCATGTATGACAGATCCCACAGCAGTTCCCAGGGCGAGTCCAGACGGCATGCAGCTCATACCTATGTGTCAGTCTGCAGGCCGTATCATGCCTGGGTCATGCTGCCACGAGACAGGGCCGTATGCCGACTCCGCCGCTCTGAGCTTCGTCGTCGTGTTTGACAACAAGAGGTGTTCTGGAACTCCCCGGGTTTTACACGGTGCGTTCACCTCCTCGGCATGCCCGAGGTATGCGTACGGTACTCAGCCCTGGGCACACCAAAGGCGTTGAATTGCATATCCCTTGCAATTTTCCAGACGTTGCAATGTGGGTTGTGCGCACTTATCTCCTAGGCTGTCGATTCATTGTGCACTGGCGTGCTGCCATTCTTCCTCAAAACCACAAGTGCGTTTGCGTATATGCACACTGTGCTTGATGATTAGAGCCAACGGTCGTGCTTATGTTGCACGGGGAGATGGTGCTGGGGGTCTCGAGGTTGATGGCAATGATTCAGAAGATCCCTAAGCACGAACACTACATGTATGCAGGTGCACAGTGAAGTTGTAGACGTGCATATATATATATGTATACATAAAGAAATGTATATGTATATATATATGTATACATAAAGAAATGTATGTGTATATATATATATGTATATATGTATGTGTGTATGTGTCCCTCTCTCTCTGTACGTGTGTGCGCGCTCGTCTCCAATGTCAGGGTACAATGCCTTGGACTTCGCGAGACCCTCCGAGCCACCCGAGGAGCTCTTCCGCGTCCCTCGGGGGCGACGAGCATCCAAAGACCAAAGTCTTTCGGTGCTTCTACCACGGAGGGCCACATGTGCTGCTTCTGGCCGGCCTCCGTGCAGCTCTCGATACGAGGGCTGCTCTTTCCATCCCCGCGCTCCGTGCCAGGCCGACCATTTCCACCTCGCCGGCCGTGCGCAGAACTACCTGCCGGGCGCGCTCGAGTGCCCCCCTTCTGGGACGGACGCCAGGGGGGCTCCGAGCAGGTCTGAGAGGACGACCTCTGGGGAGCGATATGGATGTACACGCCAGCTGTTGAAAGTAGTTCTCTTGGATGCCCAGATCCCAAGCGCCTTCCTACTTCAAGAATCGATGTGCTCTTACGTGTGTTGTCATTCTCTGGGAGGGCCTGAACCCAATCTAGTTGATCCGCCTTCCTACTTCGTGTTTTCACCTACTTCTTCCGACCGACGTGTAAAGTGATGGACGTTCGGCAGGAGAGGGGTGGAGTGGGGCCTTGGCCTCGAGCAGAGGATGCCGAGGGCAAGACGGAGAGGCTGTAGGGGAATGCACCAGGAGCCGAACATATCCGAGGGAAGGGAGGGAGGGGAGGCGCGTGGGAGTGCAAGGAAGCAGGAAGACAACCTGACCGAGTATGTCTGTATGTGTTGTGTGTGTATGTGTGCGCGTGTCGCGCAAACGCGCACATATTTGCGTGTGTGCATGCGCGCATGTGCGTTCATGCACGCTCTTGCTCGTATGTGTGCTTGCATGTCTGCTCGATTGTGCGCGTGTGAAACGTTGCACGCTGACCCCCTGCAAGCAAGAAGGCTTTTGGAGCTTGCCACAGTGCGCGTTTATGTGCATGCCATTGTGCGGCCATGCGTCCTGTGTGCATCATCGCGTGCTTGTCTTCATTGCTGCTTCGTGTCTTGCCATGCTCTATCCAGCGGGTTTCCTCTTTGTCAAAGGGCAGCGTTACTTGCCCATGCATGTATAAACTCACTGTGTGTATACACATACATAGACAAGCATATGTATGTGTACATAGTATGGCGTGGGCTATGGGGTAGTCGTGCCAGAAACTGTTGGCGCCAGGTACATGGTTCAGCCCAGCGGCTTCCAGCTTAGCGGCTGAATGCCCCCTGCGACGAGCATAGGTTGTTTGAGAAAAGCAGTGGCAGAAGCAGCTGCGCGCATGCCAGGTCCCTCGAAGCGTCGGGTAGACCCAGACATGCCACGTCTTGTTTTTTCAGGACGGCGTCCCTGGAAGTCCCGACCTTTTCCCTGGGACCCGTTTTTTCGTCCCGAGCCGCTGTTTGACGGTCCCGAGGCCTGGCGAGGGCCCACTAGGGCCGAACATAGCCAACAATTTCCGCCCCGATTTCTTCCACGACGCGGTCGTGTCTGGGGAAGAAAATTCCCATGATGTGTGTTGTCACTGGTCTTTGTGGGCCCTGGAAACGGCAAGGCCGTTTTTTTACCGTTTCCCAAAAAATGCCCCTTGAAAATGGAAACGGCAAAAAAACGGCGACCAGAACGGCAAACAAACGGCTCCAGGATTGGAACCGGAGCCGGAACCGGTAAAAAAACGGCGACGGAACCTGTAAAAAAGCAGCGTCGGAACCGGCAAAAAAAAACACAGAACGGAACTGGTAAAAAAACGGCCCTGTCGTTTCCAGGGCCCACAGCTGGTCACTGGCCGACATTCCGAGTCATCGGAATCGCACAGTCAGCACGCAGGCGTTGGCAAGAGCTGCGGCCGCGGAGGGGCCGAGCAGCCTCGTGATCCCGCCCGCGCCCTCAGAACAGCGCCAGCATAGAGGATTGTGTGCGTTTTTTTGTTTGTGTGTGTGGGATCTCGTCCACCTCCTCCTCGCTCTTACGCATGTCCTATTCCCTCCGTTCTCTCTCTCCCCATATGTTTTCTGTTTTGTTTGTCTCTCTCTCTCTCTCTCTCTCTCTGTGGCTAACTGACTAACTAACTGTCTCCCCCCTCTCTCTCTCCCTCTCTCTCTCTCAGTGTCTCTCTCTCTCTCTCTTGTTTTTTTTTGTTTTTTTTTTTTTTGTTTTTTCTCTCTCTCTCTCTCTCTCTCTCGCTCTCTCTCCCTCTCCCTGCCACTCATCCAGCGCACTGTGATTCCACGTCTGGCCTTATCCCATGAGAGCTCTGCAGGCTGTTCCCCCTGCAGGGGGCAACGAAGCGTCAGGGAAAGCGTTGCCTCACTCTGTTTTCTAGGCTCCTCCAGATTTTGCAAGGTGACGTCTAGCCTCGGGTGCTGAGCGTGTTGAGTCTAAGCTTTTGCGGCTGCGGAAAGAGCATAATCATGTTGCTAGCTGCCCTTGGCAGGAAATGCTGACAGTCCGATGTCGATCACATTCGCCAAATCCGACGTACTAGTTTTGCGGCTGGCGCTTGCTCCTAGAAGGGACCATCGGAATATTTCAGCGGCTTCACGGGTCGTTGGATCGTGGCAGAAAGCAAGGGGCAAACATCGCAACCCCGTTGTTTGTCGCCGCGCTGACCTATCAATTTCTGTCGTAGAGTAGACATTAGGCATTGTGCCTCCGCCCACCCCAACCAACCTCCATGCCGGTCTCTCGAGCAAACTGCCAAGCATGAGCAGCCATGGTATGTCACCTGCTATAACCTACGAGAGTGTACAAAACGTGCCTTCCGCTAAGTTTGAAAACAATCCTCGGGGGTGAGGTGGGGTGTGGGTGTGTGTGGGGGGAATCCACCAGAACTGCCGACATCGCGCAGGATCCTGGTGAAACTTGCGTCTCCCATTCCTTCGAAACGGGAAGGGCCGAGAAACTCTTATGTGCGCTGGAATTCGACTGGGCGGGAAGTCGGGACAGCTGTTCCCGGGGGGCGAGACCGCTTCTAGACTGCAGCAGTGTCGCACATTCGTCTATGCGTTCGGTCCCCGCTCTCCTTGGAGCATGACAAGGCCCTGATCCTGTACAGCGGAGCCCTAGGCCACCAAAGATGGCAGTGCATTGGGTGGGCACAGGAGGGGCGGAGAGTGGACAACATAGGAGTTCGACGACGAACATGGCAGAAGAGCTTTTCGTTCGTTCTTCTGTGTTGAGTTGGAAGAAGCGTCCTCTGTGAAGCAAGCCCTTCGTAAACGCACCTTGCATGCGATTCCGTAGTCCTTGAAACAAGGCCGTAGAACATGACGCCGAATCTGATTTGCACGTTACTAGCAATTTGATTCAAAGCGCTGACAGATTCTTCGCCGCTTGAGTTCAAACCCATGCCTGTGCTAAGTGCTACTCTCTAGAGCCTGTTGGATAGATATTTCAGCAGTAATGAGTCGTTTTTCGTAGAGCGGGAGACAGGACCAAATAATAAGAGCGCTTCTCATGAGGGTCATGCTCAACCACGCTGGCCGTTTTCTCGACCAGCTGGTCAAGGGTTCTTGACATATTAGAAACGCCCTTGATATCGAATCTGGCAGCCATATCGTTTCCTTCCACATACACTCGTGAAAGTTGTCGGGTTCGGTCCATACTTTCCTTGATGAGCAGTTATTGGCAACGGAGTCTAGGAGTCAGCGTGTGGGATATGTGCACCTGTCGGCCCCCGACTCTGCACAGACGCGTGTACGGGTCGAAGCGTGACCTGCCCATGGCCTTTGTGAGTCTTCACTTTGCTTATAATGTTAGCACCGTGCGATTGAGATCCCAACTCAACACGGCATGGCGATATAACATACCATGTTTGAGGCTTCGATTGCCATAATTGTCTCACAGTATTGTCGGACGTATTCGTGCGCCGTGTCAAGATGGCAAGGCATCTTTTCGTAGTTCGCCCGTTCATGATATCCATATGTGAAACCAGCAGAAGTTTCTCCGAACCAGCGCGTGGCCCCCCGAACCCGAACAACACCAACATCGAGAATGTAGGCCCAACGTCTCTCTCCTCTCTGTCTCAGTCTCTCCCTCTCTCTCTCTTTTCTCTCTCTCTCTCTCTCTCTTTCTCCTTGGTTCACAACTAGCTAACGATCCCTCCCTCTCTCTCTCTCTCTTCCTCTCTCTCTCGTCTTTCTCTCTAGCTAACAACTAATTAACTAACGATCCCTCCTCTCTCTCTCTCTCTCTCTCTCTTTCTTGCTCTGTCAATCCTCCAGCGCATCGAGATGTTCCACACCTGGCCCTCCCCCAGGCGAGAGCGAGCTCTGAGCGGGCCCCTCCTCATGTAAAGCTGTGTAAAGCTGAGCACGAGGGCCGCTCTGAGCGAGCTCTGAGCGTGTAAAGCTCGGCACGTTTTTCTTTTGGAGGAGTACATGTTTGACAGTTCTGTTTGATTTATGTATTTAATTATTTATTTATTTATTTATTTATTTATGTTTTTGTTTATTTATTTATTTTTATGTATTTATTTATTTATTTATGTATATATATGTTATATATATATGTATGTATATATGAGGCTTTTTTGCATTTTACCTCCACAATCCGCTCGTAGGGGGCCCTGCCCGATCTCAGGCTTGTGCCCGGGCCGGCAGGCGGGACGCCTCTCCCCCGTTCTCCTCGCCCGCCCCCCGCCCGCTATCCTTCCTGCTCCTCCTGCTCTGCCCTCCTCCTCGTCGGCCTTCCCCCTCGGGCCTCCTCAGGCCTCCCTCCCCCTCCTCCTCCTCTCCTCCTCCTCCTCCTCATCCTCCTCCTCCCTCCTCCCTCCTCCTCTTCCTCCTCCCTCCTCCTTCCTCCTCCCTCATCCCTCCTCCTCCTCTTTATCCGCCCTCCTCCTCCTCCTCCTCCTCCTCCCCCTCCCCCTCCCCCTCCCCCTATCCTGCCTCGCCCTCTCTTCCTCATCCTTCCCCTCCTGAGCCCAATAGCGCTGTCGACTGTCTGCCCAACAGCCGTAGACCGGCGAACGTTGTTCTACGCCACGGCGTGGTAGGCTTCGGCATCGTATGGTGGGACGGGTCCGTGGTTAAACCAATCGTAGGACAATGTTGTTCCCAGACATTCCTCGCGCTGCGAAAAATTCACGACGGGAGGTTCTCCGCTATTTTAGGCCTCCGGGGGCCCTTACAGGGCCCCGAGACCGTCAAAAATGTTTCAGGATGAGAAATTGGTCCCGGGGAAAGGGTCCAGATTGGGGGTCGACGTCATGAAAAAATCATTACGTCAGGGGTCTGGGGTCCGTGGCCAAACAAATCGTAGGAAAGCGTGGTTTGTGCTCGAACCTACGGACGCGATGGCAGAGGTGGATGGAAGACGGCACCACTCAAAGAGTACCCGTCGAAATTGTGCAGAGCCATGGCGGCGGCTTTCGCGGCGAGATGGGGACAGCTGGCAGACGACAATTCACCATGGGCCATGGCCGTCGAGGAGTACCGCAACTTACCACTGGACTACTACGCAGAAGCCGCAGAGCTTGGCCACGACTGCCACAGGGAGTGGGGCTCCCGAGGGCGCTAACAGGCACAAGCGCAAGCCGCGCAGTACGGCACACCCAAGCGGCCGAACGCACGACAAACCGCACCACATCCGCTACGCCCAACAATTCCAGCTACCAGACCAACAACAACAGGCCCAAACAACCACCCGACCTAAAACACAACAACACGTCCAACCACCAACCACCAGGCCCTACAACACGACCAACCAGTGTTTACCAGTCCGACAGTACCGCGGCTGAAATCTGACGACGCCACCCGCAGCACGCGCACGACCCCCCCGCAGCCAGACACCGCACCATGACATACCGCCGCGAACCAAGGCGCCCATCACTCCGCCAACCGACCCCAACGGAACGGCGTTAGGACGCAAGTCTTGAGGAAGCCCCGAATGCGTGGAAACACCTCAGGCAGCATTGCCACGTATTGCTGGAGGCCTTTGGGCGCAATTCCTGGGGAAGCCCCAAATGCGAGGGAACAGCCCAGGCACAAGTCGCCACGCTTAGCAGAACAGAAGCACGCAGCGCGTACACACGCACACGTCTTAGCGGCTACCAGCTACCCCAGACTACAGACGACCTCAACGACCGTTAACCTCCAACGACCAACCAGTACCAGCAACCCTACGACAGCCCCACCAACACAACGACACAAGTCAACGCTACCCTGGCGAGGCAAGGATCAAACTTCGAGACGGGCTCGAA